GAGAACATAAAAAATTTGTATAACCATATACAAAAATAATGTTATATATATATATATATATATATGGTTTTATATTTATATTATAGATCTTATTATATATATATATATATATATATATATATATATATATATATATATATATATATATATATATATATATATATATATATAATTATTATTTATTCACACGCATATCCCTGTTTAAAAACCTGTTTTGAATTTAAAATATTTACATGTACGAAATGTTTCTTTTTAAAAATGGATTAATTAAATAATTGATCGTTAAGTTTGCTAGAATTTGAATAAATTTATTTTATTTTTTATTGATTAATTTTAAAATTATTTATTAATCATTTTAATTTTTGTTAGTTTCTATTGACTGATTCACTGATTTCCAAAGTAAATCAAAATTCAAAGTTGAATCAATATTAAATATTAATTTATGAATAATAATAATCAAAGAAATTGATTCAAAATTCAAATGGATTATTTAATTATTTTTTTATTTAATTTATAAATGGCTAAACATTTTAAATATTATATAAAATAAATAATTAGATAAATAAAAGAATATTATTTAATCTCTCTTTTGGTTCAAACATTTGTTTGACTATATTTAATAAAGTTAGTTTTTGTACAACAAGTACTTCAAGTGCATCAGTACCCATCCAACAATTGTGATGGTTGACCACAAACACAAACAAAGCCAGCCCCACCGAGTTGTCAAGGTGAACGAGCCCCAAGTGCCCAAATATATTAAAAATAAAATCAGGTTATAATAATAATAATAAAATAATAATAATTAATTATTTTCTACGTTATTTTATTGTTAAAATGTTTGATTTTATTTGGTAATAGCATCATTGAATAGAGTAATGTTGGAAAATGTCTATGGTGGTTGATTTCTAAGAGAAAACTATATATTATCTTATATTTGCAAACTATATTATTGCCATGATTATGATTATAATTATTTTTATTATAACTTTATATATTTTTTTGCAGTACCACCAAGTACAACCTGTTTACATTCATACCGAGGTTCTTGTACGAGCAGTTCAGAAAATATGCAAATATTTATTTCTTGGGTATAGCACTTATACAGGTGTGTATGTGTGTGTTTGTGTGTATGTATGTATGTGTGTGTATGTATGTATAAATATATATGTGTAACATGCATAAATACATACATTCACACTACGTGCACAAATATACACACACACACGCAAACATATCATAATTTTTACACACACACATACCTACATAATTTCGATTATTAGAGTGTGGTTTTTTCCATCAATTTGTCAGTTAAAGAAATTGTTTGGACCTGTTTGAACTTGTTTTATTTAGTGTAATAAAAATTTTCAGAACTAATTTTCATGCACACACACACACACACACACACACACACACACACACACACACACACACACACACACACACACACACGTACATATACATACAATTTGTTACAAACGCGTGCACACAAAAACATTTTATCAGTTCTTTTGAAGCTAACTAACTATAGATGTAGAGAGTAAATGAAAGAAAATGAGAAAAATGAAAACAAGAAAGAGAGAGAGAGAGAGAGAGAGGGAGAGAGATTTCTTTTTCTACATCAATAAATGTTTAGCAGCTAGGCAGTGTATACATACATATTGACAAACCTTCGGTTATAAATGCGACTTTCAAAACTAATGTTATTAATTGACGTGGTGAAGATGAAGATGTTGATGGAGAAGAAGTTGATGACGACGACGACAACGATGATGAAGAAGAAAATGATGATGATGATGATGACGGAAATGATGATGATGATGATGATGACGAACAATCGATCAATCAACTAACCAATCAATCAACCAATCAACATCAACTAATCAACCAACCAATCAATCAATCAACCATTCAATCAACCAAGTCAGCAAATTCCGGATGTTTCTCCAACTGGAAGAGTTACAACCCTAGTCCCATTTTGCATCATCCTATCAATATCTGCTTTCAAAGAAATCATCGAGGATGTTGTATGTTTGTTGTTTTTGTTGTTGTAGTTTTTGTTGTTATTGTTATTATAATTGTTGTTGCAGTTATTTTCTTTATTTTGAAAAAAAAAATCAATTAAGCTGCGCTATATAAATTACATTGATTGGGAGAATTGATATTGTGTATTTGTTTGTATGTTTGTATCTACGTATGTATGTGTTTGTGGGCAGGCAATGTATGTTTGTATGTATGTGTGTGTGTATGTTTGTTTGTGTGTGTGTTTGTTTGTGTGTGTGTTTGTTTGTGTGTGTATGTTTGTGTGTTTGTGTGTGTGTGTACGTGTGTGTGTGTTTTAAAACTTTGAAAACAAAATATTTATTTAATAAGAACATTATCTTTAGAAACGAAAGAGATCAGATGATAAGACGAATAGCAAGATTTTACCGGGTTTGTTTTTTTTATACTGTCTTCTTTCTGTGTCAGTTGTTGTATGTATGTGTGTGTATGTATGTGCGTGCGTGTGTGTGTATGGTGTTTTGATGGATCGAAGGAACAGATGAATGAGTGAATGAATGAATGAGTGAATGAATGAATAAATAATTGATTGGTTGGTGGATGAATTGGTGAACGTACGAACGGACGGATAATTGAGTTAATGAAAATATGGACTGATTAATGGACAGATGAATGAATGAATGAATGAATAAATGAACGAACGAACGAACAACATCAGTAATGAGAAATTCCACTTGGATGACCCAAAAATGGAAGCAGATGCAGGTTGGCGATGTGGTGAAGGTAATGAGTGGCGAGAGCTTTCCAGCTGATCTCGTTCTCTTGTCCACAAGGTTTGCATCTGTGTGTGTGTGTGTCTGTGTCTGTGTGTTTGTTTGTATTTTTGTGTGTGTGTCTGTGTGTTTGTTTGTATGTGTGTATGTATGCTTGTTGTTGTTATTATTATTTTTAATATTATTATTTTTAATATTAATATTTTTTTTTCGAAGCGAACCAAATGGTATATGCTACATTGAGACGGCTAATCTTGATGGCGAAACCAATTTGAAAATTCGGCAGGTTTGTTGTCCGGATGATAATGACGACGATGTTCATTCATTCGTTCATTCATTCATTTATCCATTCATTCATTCATCCATTCATTCATTCATTAATTCATCCATTCATTCGTTCATCCGTTCATTCAGTCCATGTCGATTACGAACAAGCTACAAACGGACGAACAGTTCCCGACGTGTCGCATACGCATAGAGTGCGAGCATCCGAACAAGCTCCTGTACGATTTTGTCGGGAACCTCAAATTTGGAGAGGAAAAGTCTGTTGGGATTGTCGTTGCTGACTGATCATTGTTGTTGTTTTTATTTCCGTTGTTGTTGTTGTTGGTGTTGTTGTTGTTGTTGGTGATGTTGTTGTTGTTATTGTTGTTAACTTAGGTCCGTGTCTCTGGGACCCGATCAAGTCCTGCTCCGAGGTGCTATTTTGAAGAACACCAAATGGATTTATGGTAGTTTTTGAATGAGTGATTGGATATTTTTTCATTTATATCCATTCGTTCATTCATTTATCTGTTCGTTCGTTCGTTCGTTTGTTTGTTCCTTCGTTCGTTCTTCCATTGATTTATTAATTAATTCGTTCGTTTGATAATCTTTAGTTCTCTATTATCAATAATAATTAGTCATTTACTCATTCACACATTTGTTCGTTCGTTTGTTCATTCATTCATTCATTCATTCATTCATTCATTCATTCATTCATTCGTTCATTCATTCATTATTCGTTTGTTCGTTCGTTCGTTCGCTCATTTATTCATTAATTCCATTGCAGGTGTGATAGTATACAGTGGTTACGAGACGAAGCTGATGTTAAATTCATCGAAAGTGCCTCTCAAAAGATCGACCGTCGATAAAGTCGTTAATAGACAGGTAGGTAGGGAGGTGGGTGGGTAGGTGGGTGGGTAGGTTGGTAGATAGGTAGGTGGGTGGGTTGGTAGGTAGATTGGTAGGTAGGTGGGTGGGTAGGTTGGTAGGTAGGTGTCGTTGTTGTCGTTGCTGCTTTTGTTGATGATGATGTTGTTGTTGTTGTTGTTGTTGTTGTTGTTGTTGTTGACGAAGATGAAGATGATGAAAACAATGTTAGTTTGTTCATTCACTCAATCATTTACTCATTCATTTATTCATTCATTCATTCATTCACTCATTCATTTATTTATTCATCCATCCATCCATCCATTCAATCACTCATTCATTCACTCACTCATTCATTCATTCATTCATTCATTCATCCACATACTGCCAGATATTGATGCTGTTCTGTGTGTTGTTGATATTATCGTGGGCTAGCAGCGTCGGCGCCTACTTTTATCAGCGGAAGTTGTACATGCAGCATTGGTACCTGGGCTATCAAGGTCCGTGGCTGCTGCTGTTGTGGTTGTTGCTGTTGTGGTTGCTACTGCTGGTACTGCTGTTGTGGTTGCAGTCGCTACTGCTGTTGCCGTTGCTGTCGCTACTGCTGTTGCTGTCGCTACTGCTGTTGGGGTTGCTGTCGCTACTGCTGTTGTGGTTGCTGTCGCTACTGCTGTTGTGGTTGCTATCGCTAATGCTGTCGCCGCAGCAGTTGTTGTGGTTGCTACTGCTGCTGCTGCTGATGATGTTGCTGTTGTTGTGGTTGATGCTGCTGTAGTTGTAACTGCTTGTTGTGGTTTCTACTGCTGTAGTTGTTGCTTTGTTAAATGACAACAACAACAACAGCAACATTAAATAAACAATAAAAACAATAACTATTATTATTATTATTCTTTTTTGCCACCAGAGACCAGTCAGCCGAACAACATCTTACTGAATATGCTGACCTTTATTATCCTCTACAACAACCTCATTCCGATAAGCCTGCAGGTGACTATGGAGATGGTGAAGTTCACCCAGGCCCTCTTCATTGGATGGGTTTGTCAATTGGTGGATTGGTCGGTGGAAATTGTAGAGGAGTGAATGAGTGAAACAAACACACATACAAAAAAACATACAAACAAACATACATACATACAAACAAAAGGACAGAAAGATGTATTACGAAGAGAAAGACACACATACAAACAAACATACAAACAAACTTACATACAAAGAAATATACAAACATACATACAAACAAACATACATACATAGATAAATACATACATACAAACAAAAGGACAAAGAGATGTATTACAAAGAGACAAACACACCAGCCGCTGCTAGGACTTCCAACCTGAACGAAGAATTAGGACAAGTTTGTTGTGATGATGATGTTGTTGTAGATGATGATAATGATGTTAATGTTGTTGTTGATGATGATGATGATGGTGATGGTCATGTTGCTGATGATGATGGTGGTGATGTTGATGATGATGATGATGGTGATGAATTGATCCTTCAGTCATGTCATTTATTAAACCAATTATTTATTTATTCATATAGATCGTTCGTTTAATCAATCAATCAATCAATCAATCAATCAATCAATCAATCAATCAATCAATCAATCAATCAATCAATCAATCCATCAATCAATCAACAAATCAATCAATCAATCATCCAAGCATTTAATTTAA